ACACAGCAGTGAATTGGAAAAACAGGATTGGTAGATTACAAGATCTTCGGTAGGCGTTTAGGGTGAATGGCAGTCTGAACTACTTAGTCAATCGGTGCATCTGCAAACGATACGATTAACCAAATCCGAATGTTAACAGTGGCTCAGACGCCGTTAGTCACCTCACAAACCTTGGAGTTGGGGTTATGTACACAGACCAAAGGCAACTAACAGGCACCAGACTATGAAACCGAAAGACCCAATGCCACGGTAGGAAACGTCTGAAGTCGTTTATCGGATCTTGTGCAGACGCGGATGGCCGAGCTCACAGCATTGGTGAATAGAATCTACGTCAGTTCCTAGATTGCGGTTAACTTGACGGGACTCGGACGCACATTCAAGTTTTATGATACCTAAATCCTTCCGGAAATTGTAAATCGCCTGAGCCGCAAGTTGCTTGAGTTATGGGGCACCGATTTTCAGTCAATTGACAAGCACAATTTCCTTCCCCTTGTATTTTATGTTGGGTAGATAAATTACCCCCGTGAGAAGCGAGTGGATGAACACTGCTCCTAGTGACAGCATCGGCTATCTAAATTGCTCGACAGTCCACAAGCGTTTGGCAATTAACGATTAGGATGCGAACAATCAAGCTGCCAACTCCGACAAGTAGGCAGTAGTATTAAAACTGCATCCTATAAATACTGCAAGACTTAAGTCAGGCACTACGCTTATTTGAATTTTTTTCTGGGTGATGGATTAAAGTGTGAGTCCGAAGCATCTAACGAATGGAGCTCCCGTGTTTCTCGCTCCCTAAAACTCGTCTCTTTGCTTCTATAGGCAAGTTTACATGTTTGTAGATTTTAATCAACTGTGTGCACAAATACTTAGATCCGTTTTCAACCTCCAGGCTGTTATTTAGCTGGAAAACCCTATATGCAGGTAAATGTCCGAAAATGTGTGGCAAATTACTGTCACTTGCGGAAATGGACTTTCGCTAGGATCACCTGGTATTTCTTAACGCAATGTTAACGTCAGGCAATCTCCAATTAAAATAAATTATTGATTAATTTAGCCAAACTAAATTTGGCGAGCAAACTAAATTAGATGTTACCTCACTTTAACTCATATCTCAGGAACATGTCTGTCTTCTTACAGTTTTAATCTTGTTACTCAGGAAGTATAAATATCGTTAGTTCGTAGCAGTCGGGAAAATTATTTCACAAGATTCGGGGATAAGGATAAAAACGAACGTGGTAAGCAGGTTTTCTTACCTATAAAGGAGACTTGGACTCAAGACATCAATAAGTTCCATCTTTCCATTGTCGTTCCATGCGGATACACAATAGAGTGATGAATCCATCAGCAAAAGTGGCGTTAGCGCAGCGAAGTAGTCGAAAAAGTCGACCGATATGTCCAAGTCATCCTCGACAACAATAGCTAAGGGGTACTTAAGCTCTGTGAAAATCTGCTCGAATGCAGATTTGTAGTGATGAGAAATCCGGTAATAACCTACAATATCAAATACTGTGATTAAATGGGTAGCCACAATGTCAAATGGCGATTTAATCAAACTTGAGCCCCGAAAAAAGTTGACTGGTCACCAGACCTCGGTTTTACTTATGGTACTTTTTTATAAAAAAGGTCAATGCATGTGGACACGAGTAACTCAAAGATAGATATGTTTGAGGACACACCGGATATATTCTATGATCTTGGATACGGAGAGCAAACAGCTGTGGTGACATACATTTACCTTAAACACCAAAAAAATCCAGGTTTAAGACATACCCTCAAATCTCTTTTGAGCCGAAGGGAGGTCGAAGGTAGTTTGAGTCGGAGGTCTCAAAGATAAAATTTCATCAGCGTATGATTCAATTACTTTTTTAACCTCGGGGTCATTACAGCCAGCCGAGACGTACACAGGAAATTGGATGGGACCCTTATAGTGCGACCGACGATGGGCTAACAAGTTATCCAGTGTACGTCTCATCGTTGGTCGACTGCATGCAATTACGATTACCGGAATGACCTTCGGTAATACTGATTCAGTAACAGCGAGCGGCGCTCTCACCACTGGGACAGTGGACAATCGTCCAGTTTTCTACAAATGTGTTAGAAGATGTGAAGTACCTGAACATTTTTTCCTCCGAGGCCAGAGGACTGATCTTGCGGTTTAGATACACCAGTTCTGTTAATGTTGTAGAAAAAATTGAGATAAATCAGCTGAAGGCAGATGAAGACTGTCCCCATGAGAATGACCCAGAGCAATGGCCGGCGTAATGATATAGGCATTTGGCTCCTAAAATGTATTTTTTTTGCATGGAAAGCGGGATCAACAACGAAGGCATACTAACTGGCTGTATAAAAGGATATGTTAGACGAAGGTTGTGTACTTACGCAAATGAAAGATCATGTGACAAAGCATGTGGCAATACTGTATAATAAAAAAGAAAGGCATCTAAGCGCCATCGCTTCCCTTGTAGCCGTCAAGAGTATGCGTCAATAATATTCCCTCTGTGAAGGACATTTTTACTGCATCTACAGACGGTACTATGCTCTATTTAGATTAGGTAACTTAAGTCCTCCAATAGATTCATTCAACCCATATGCACTTTTTACTTTATTCCAACAGACAATGACGACTTGCTGCGACTCACGTGAAAACCCACAAGGCAATGAGTGGCAAGTAAAGTAATGTTCCACTCCAAGCCCGCGAAATGTACGTTATGATCGGACTTCATTAGAAAGGAGGTTTCTTGTGAACGAAGAAAAAACGCATCACTAACTTCCTGAAAATATGTATATGCTCGACTGCGCATCCTGAACTTAAAATACCCATGAGTATGGGTAGGACGAGGGCTTTTGAACCTTTACTGGCGTTATTCGTTGTGACACTCAATTGGGTCATTTACAGAAAGCTGATAATAGTGTGTTAAAATGTCTTGCAGGGTACAAACAAAACAACAAAGAATTTGTTATAAATTAGAGTGGGTATTAAATTAATAAATGCATTATGGGTAATGGTGAGCGTCTCCGTGGCATCGTTCTCTGTGAAACTCTAAAATTCGA